TTATATTTCCATTTCCAGGATATGAGATGGGGGAGCTCGATTTTTGTGCAATCGTTGAGAAGCGATCCTTTTAGAGTAAGTTCAAAAAATTATCTATGTTGGCAGTATATAGTTACAAATACTAAAATAATAATATAAGGATATCGTTTAAATAGAAGTGTCACATTTTGGAGTTGTTTTCGGCCATTTTTTGCAGCATTTCAACATGGCGATCCTTGCAGCCTACGCTCGACCGATGTCCAAATACGAAATTATTAAGGTACAATTTGAATCCTAATTAACCTTCAACTTTTGAATTTTAGATTTTAAGATTTGATCAAAGGAATTAGTGTTTTGGTGATGTAGGTCGACTTGCTCTCGTCTAGTCACTCTAATGAAGAAAATCAAGAAGGCTTGAGCGTCAACAATTCCTACTGTAAGGGTGGCTAATTATGTACATTTCCACTTTGGATTTTGATCCTATTATTCAATTGATGGGTTGTATTTATTTTTCACTTCTCTATGTATATATTTATTTTTATTATTTACTTTTCTTTTTTGGTCCAAGAAATGTGACGGGACGCAATGGAGCAAAATCCTACTAAAGCTCGAGTGTAAGATATCATCTGGATTCAGAACTCAGAAACAGATTTTAATAATTTATGTGGACCAAATACAATAGCTCCTTTCTCTGTTCTTTTAAATTTCATGAGGACTTAAATGCAAGCATAAAAACCTCAGATCAAGAAACTTGACACTTTCAGTAATATCATAAGAGAGTAATCTTCAAGAGTCAACCAAGTTAATTAGTCAAATTGGTATGTGTATAAATTAAAAAATTGGTTAAAATTGTGAAAGAGTGAAAAGTCTTATTTAAAACTGCAGTTTGGCCATTATAAGATATGAGCAATTGAGCACTGTTCGAATACAATTTTATTTTCTTAAAATAAATGATAGTTACAAATCACATCATCACACACGTGAGACCACATAAAATGTTCTCTGAGCCCAACTCGGAAGTTTTTTCCCATAAGCAGCATCATATATAGGATGTCTCTATTTTTGCACTGCACAAAAGAAAGCGAACAGACAGAAAACCCTACATTTTTTCTTCACATAACACACAATTTCCTTACTTTGTAGATAGTTCCCCTGCAAATCGGACAACTCTTGCTTTCCTCCTTCACAATTCTGCTTACACAAATATTTAAACAAGAAAACACATTGCACGTGATAATCCAGTCTCATTAACTTAACAGTAATTACCCATGTGATATATAATAGTATATCACTGCATTTCTATTTTCTTTAACATTTTCGTTTTATGCCTTATCGAAATATAATAATAATAATAATTATAGTAATAGTAACTAAAATCGTTAACCTTACCTATGGGCGCACTTGTGGCAGGTAACACAATGTCCGCATGGAATGAAGAAGCAGTTTCTTTGGTCGTCATAGCAAATGACACATATTTTGCCGTCATACAAATCCTCTGATGAAGATGAGCAACTGTTGTTGCTGCCCGATTCGAAGTGATCGTCACTATCGTTCGTGCCATAAATAGTAACCACAAACTCTTGACCTTTCGAAGGCAATAATGTGGTACTCTCGGTTGGTCTCCGTGAAGCATTACTTGATTCGTCTCCATCCGAGATCCACAAGAGTTTCACGATCAATGCCATCACCATCAAGAATATCGCTGAGATATTTTATATTTTTTCACATGAGAAAAATAGTAGTTACCCTTCGCTGGCAATAATAATAATAATAATAATTTTTTTTTCCAACCATAATTTTTGGATTTTAAATTCGGATAACTATGTCACTACAAGAAATTGCCAAAATGTAAACAGAAATTACCTTCCGTTAGGAATAACCAACAGCTCACCAATTGATTAATAATGCATTATATATAAAAAAATTTATACAGATTACTAACAGAATACTTAAAAAATATTGCATGAAAAATATATCTTTGTATTCCGTTTGGCAAATACTGAAGGAAAAATTCCTTTAGTAAACACCAATTAATTTACAACGAACTGCAACGAATTCGTTCATAATTGTATTAGCAACGAAAAACTCTATTGCTAAATAGCAACATAATTATTTGAAAAGAAGCCATAGGGCGTTCATTAGGGTTGTTATCGAAACCAAACCGAACCGAGCTTAAGGTTTTCAAGCTCGAGTTTGACTAATTTTAGAACATGTTTGTGTTCGTTTGTTTAGTATTAGAACAAAAAATTCCGTTCGTGTTCGTTCGTTTATTAGTTCGTTTTAATTCATTTATGTAGTCGAACTTGCACGTGAACTATTCGAATTGCTCGACAAGTTTATGTTTGAATTGTTCGACAAGTTTATTTCCTAATTGTTGACTTTTTTTTAAATTTTAATACCATACAAGTAATTTTATTTAATATTTAACATATAACCATATTTATATATATAATACATATATATGTATATATAATATAAAATTATAAAATACTTTATTGTTTGCGAATGCTCGTTTAGTTTGCGAATTTGTTTGTGTTCGTTTGATAACTAAACGAGCATAATTTTATGTTCGAGTTCGGCAATTATTAAACGAACGAGCTGTTATCGAACACAAATGAACAAGAACAAGTTTTGTTCGCAAACAATTCACTTCATTCACTTCAATAACAGCCCTTGCATTGATTGGTGTGCTGTCTTAAGTCATTTTACTTTAAAAAGTATAATGGATGAATTGGTTCAATCTACCTAAGGGTGTGTTTGTTTATATATTTTCTCAATTCATACTCAAGATGTAACTCAACTTTAACACAATTTCATTAGTCTAAATATTATCAACATAATCAATCATTCTTATACATCACATCAAATTTAATTCACTATTCATCTATTCATACAATTTTAACTAACAACCAAGTCCACATATCTCTCTCATACTTTTACATCAATTCAACTTTATTTATTTTATTTTAAAATAAATTCAAAATTCCACTAACAACAAATTATATCACATTTTCAAAATTAACTCTCCTTAACTGAAAAAACTTGTTTTGATCGGATATAATTGTATCCAAGCACGCATTAAATGTTCACACAGTCAAAAAATTGTGTTCTAATTATTTGTTTTTATAAATAAAACCACTAAAAAAAATATTACATTCCAACGGAAAATCTTATAATAATATAATCTCATGAAAATTCTAACGGATATTCTAATATTCCAACTGAAATTCCAACGAAAATATTTTATTGGAATGAGTTTTCCATTGAAATTTTAGATAGAATTTGATGATTCAAATGACTATTTTTACCAAAGTCTTTTACAATTGAAATTTTCGTTGGAATATGCAATTTTCGTTGGAATTTTTATTTCCACCCCCGTCGAAAAATCTATGTTGAAATCGTCAAAATCCAACGAAATTTCAATGGAAAACTCATTCCAACGGAACACTTTTGTTAGAATTTCTGTTGGAATCCATTGAAAAATTCCAACAAAAATAATAGCACTGGAATATCTATTGGAATTGCCGTTATAATTCTATTGGAATATATTTCTGTTGAAATTTTCTACTGAAATTTCATCATTTTTTTGTAGTGACGTATTATATATTTTTTTAAAAAAAATATATATATATGGCTGGCAAAGAATTATGTTGATTATTTGTAGAAGGTTTTGCTTGTAAAATTTTCTTTCTTTATCTTTTGTGGATGCCTGAATGCCTAATATTCCCCTTTAACTTATACTACAGTTTCCTCGGCCTTTATGTATCTCCCCATTTCAATTTACATATCTATACTTATATTAAAAGGTATACCATTTACCAGATTTAGTATACAGAAAGTCAACAATATTTATTGCATTACTATTTCCATATTATACAATCTATACTTATATAAAAGGAGATTCTATTTACTATATTTACTATCCAGAAAAGTCAACTGCATTAAATGTCATTACTATTTTGGTATTATAATATTTTATTTATTTTGATTTATTTATTTGTATTATTTTAAAAGGGTAAGTATAATAAAAAGATCTTATAATAAAAAAAATCAAATACCAAATAAAAATGTACACTTTGACTTATTTGATTATATTTGATATTTGATTATACCAAATATATTCCTATTTAGTATATACATTAAATACTTACTAAAGTATTTATTTGTTTTATTTGTCAAAGTTAAGTATAGATTTCTTTATATTATCAAATCATAAAAAAAAATATTAAATTCATATTGTAAAAAAAAAATCATATAAGTATATAACAATTCTACTACACTATTTAATAATATTTCTTTTTTATTATATAATAAAATTATAATTAAATATTATGTGGTAAACAACAATAAGTAAAACTGTTCCTTTCTCTTATATCAAGGGATAAATTTATATGCTAAAATTAAATTTTTATTAGTATAAATGTTTTAGTGAGATAATATATTAATTATTTTACAAGCTAGCCCTAACATGCTCGTATTTAATGTTTTAAAAGATGTAGAAAAAAAAATTTATAATAACTCTATTGTTTTTTAGACTTAAACGTTGATTAAAAGAGGTAAAAATTCTTAATTTTTTAGACTTAAACGTTGATTAACGCCATAGATTGATAGTTTATATTTAGTAAAATTCCTAATTGTAATAAAAAAATTAATTTTTGCTATATGTTAGAATATCTTTAAATTTCATTATAAAAAAAAAAGAAAAAAAACTACAATGAAAAAAGCAAGTCAGCTATATACCGATTTGTTGTACTCCTCAAATCACATTCACAATTTGGCTACAACGAAAGGAAACTCATTGATTAAAATATTATTTTGTCAGTAGTTTTAATGTACAAGAGACTTTAAGACTCCACTTGAATATTATAAAACTTTTATTGAACATTGTACAATTTTCTTGCGTATTATAAACTTTTATTGAATATTGAATCTTATAATATAATATTCTCTAAATAAATATATCCCGTGCTTTGCACGGATCACGTACGATATATATCCCGTACATTTTTCTTTATTTATGTATATAATTATAAGCCTGGATAAATAGCCTTAAAATTGTGCATCCCGTGCATCGCACGGGCTCTATACTAGTAAATTTGAAAACTGGAACTAAAAAATTTGAAATACATTTAAATAAATTGAGACACAGAGTACACATTCAGGTAAGCCCACATATTAAATATTGAAGACACAGATCTAATGCTGACATGTCGAGCTCTTTAAATTCTATANCCACAATTTATGTACGGCTGTACGCTAATCAATTTCCAACTAAACTATAACAATTCCTTTTTTTTTTCAGATTAAAATCACAGTTGGGACTCGGAAATAAAATTTCTAACTAAACTATACCCCCACATAAATAAAATTAATCAATTAATTGAAAATAAAAGTAAAGAAACCCCCCATTCTTCCTCTTTCCGTAACCACGAGCATGAGGATAACTTTTTAAAAAATAAGTAAAAAAAAAAGAAAAGAAAATATTTAATGCATTAGTTATGGGCTGACAAAGACAAACTCTTTAACCACAAATCACCACTAGCGTATGAAATTAAAATTTCTTTCAAGATTTTATTAGCTGTTACAGAAGAAGAAGATAATTAATATTGTCATTTTCAGAATAAATAGAAATCTTAGCAGTAACGTTACTTGTACGCATATTAGATGACAGTCAGTACATACTTTGAAACTTAGATGTAAAACTCTAAAAAAATAATATAAATAAAAGTATTTGATTTTATAATATAAAAAAAATTATGAAAATTTAAATGCATGAACATACTTACCTACGAACGCCGCGCAGAAGGCATAACGCATCACCAAATCAACCTCAATGTGGGTTTCACCCAAATTATTATCCTCCTGCACCAAAATTTCATAATTAAGTTGATTAATTAAATTATGTGTACTTAATTATTATTTAATTGAGATATTTAACTTGAAGTTACAGATAAGGGACCGTTTGTAATTCTCACATTCCGAAATGCGATGGTGACGGCAAATCGGTTGAATTCAGGGAGATTTGCGGTCGTCAAAGTCATTATTAATCTGGTCCACGATTTCTACACTTCCGATTTTGACCTTCTTAAGTTTAATTAATCACCTGCTAAATTAATTCCTTAAAAAACACGAACACAAAAAGAAAAATAAAAAAAAAAATGCANAAATTTGTAAGAAAAAAAAAAAAAATTACATTACCTCATAAGAGCCACTGTTTGTTGATGATTTTTTTCTAATAATCTCATAGAAAAAATCCAAATCTGGTAAAAAATCTTCGCCCAAATGAGTAGGCAAAGAGCTTCGGCGGCATTGGAGTGTGCGAGGTACGATGAACAGAGGAGAAGAAGCTTAGTTTCATGAAAAAAATGAAATCGATAATTTTTGTATGAAGGAAAAAAAGGCGAAGAGCCAGATTTAGAGGCTTATATTAAAAAAAAAGCTTCGGATTTTTGTTTCGTAAAGTATTTGTCGGCCGATATAAATTTTCATGGGAATGATAAATTGATAATGCTAAGGCAAAGTGATGGGCCTATTTATGTTGAATGGAGCAGGCAAAGGGGTTTAATACGATTGGATTAATTATTATTACTGTTGTTGTCGCAGTCATTTTTCTTTTTTTCTCTTCTTTTGAATTATTTTTAGGAATTTGAAGGGATGGGGTCTGAAAGTGATGAAATGCTCGAGGAATTATTAGGTGGACGAAAAGGAAATTGTAATTTTTATTTTATTTTTTTATTTTTTTTATTTTTTTTGCGGTTTAAATAATTTAAAGAGAGTGGGTGAGTCCCATGGTAGAGCAAGTGATGGGTGAGGGCCCCTTTAATTTTGTTTCAAATGGATAAAAAATCACATGTGTTTTAGATCCCAACAGTTTTGATTTATTAAGTGAAACTTGTGAGTGTTTAACTGTTTATGCACTGCTGCATTCAAAAGGAACTACACAAGGAAGTGAACCTTTGGTTCGTTTTCTATTTCTAAGTTTTCAACAAACGAAAACCAAACTAATATTTTTTTTTAAAATAAAAAAATAAAAAACCTAATGTACCGCAGTTAATTTATTAGGTGTTTGTTTGTACCTAAGAAATAATATTTTGGTGCTTTATATATTTTATTAACTATACAATACATATATATATATATAATTTAATTATATATTAAATTAATATTTGTGACATTATCAAATGTACACAAATACTCACAAGTTAACAAAAAAGCAAACTTAGTCGAACTTGCTCTCAAACAACTATTGTATGCCAAGTTGCCAACGTTCGGTTCAATAATAGTTCTAATTTGGACAACCTAATAGTCCCAATAAATAATGTGTTTCACATCCTATTCTACCTTCAATTATATGTTTTGCGTTGATCCTGTTTATATGCTGTATCCCTCTCTAATCTATGTAGGCACGGGTTAATATACCAATTAATTAGCTAATGTAGGATGAGATTAGCATATAATACATATATAATTAATGTGGTGTTCAAAGATTACGAGATATGAACAAGTGACTGGTGAGTATATAAATATGTATTAATGTACTATGGTGGGTAGGTGAAAATTTTTATATTTATACCGTTTTATTGTCTAATACTAATATAAATCACGTACGATACGCACGGTTTGACGATACTAAAAAAATTATATTTAGTTATTTACACATAAAATGTGAGGATTATACTAATATAATTTATCATATATTAATTAAAATAACGATTATGTGCTATTATTTTGCCTATATAAAAACTATTCATACAATTTCATGAAGTATTTATCAAATGTCCATGAAAATGTACACATGCAAAAGCAATATATACCTAAAATGTACACTTCTAATGTACTTAACATGTTAAAATCACCTAAAATGTACTATGTTATCCTAAAAAACATATGTAACGAAATACCTTTTTTATGTGTTAAACTATAAATATTATTTTTTAAAATACCTTAAAAATTCAAATATTCTATACCATTCATAACCATCCTTCGGGAATGGAATAAAATATAAATATCTATCAATAAACATATAAGAACAAATATAAAATTTTTAAATTGTATGATAGAAATAAATAAATATTTGGGATATTACATACTTACAATCCAATCTTAGTCTTATAAACTAAAATTATTATAAAAATCCTAGTAATTAATAACTCAACTAAATATTATAATATTAAGCAAAAAATCCTATTTATTTTTTATTTTCGTATTTCGTGAATTATGTCCAAATTTTTTATTATAATATTAAGCAAAAAATCCTATTTACACGGCATATAAGAATCCTACAAATTATTTTGGAGTTGGAGGGATCGGATTAACCAAAATTCTATTTATTAAGTATTTTATTTTAAAAAATTAGGGAATGTATCCGAACCAAAAGTAATGTTGCCAAGTAAATTTCTAAAACGTGCGAATTTGAAATTATATTAAGAGGATATTTTATATAAATACAAATTATATTAAATATCTAAATATTGTGTTTTTACATTTAATACGAAGATTTTCAAAAAAAATAATTTTGAATAATAAGTCCGATACAACTTTCACGGACTCTTTTTAACAAATTTATAGTTGAAAGATAAAAAAATTGAAGAAAAAAAAACTGTTAAATTATATATTAAAAATTCTCTTTTAGAAAATAAAATTAGTTTGCTACAACTTTTTCTTACTATTTTTGTAAATATCAAACATTTTTACATATTAATAGATGTCCTTCTCTCCTTGTTAATTTCATAATAAATAGAATGAAAAAAAAACAAATGTATTTCATCCACTAATTTTGGAACACAGCCACATAACACAAGTAGTTACGAATTCACCGTGGATGTTATATTACTATTATTATAGGAAAGGCTATAATCCCATCAAATCAAATCAAAATGATCTGATCTATTTAACCATTTATATGGTTTGATAGGTTCATTATTACAACATCAACTTAATTTAATATTATGCTTATTGTTCCTGGCCATATGGTTTTATTTTATAGATATTATAATTATAAAAATATAATAACTTTCTCAATCATTGTGTTGTATAGTTAAAATAGGAGCGTGGTATTCAACGTGGTGGACCACCAGACCAAACATCCATCCATCACAGTTCACACATACGAACAACAAAACGTTAGATGTGATGTAAAAGCAGGAAATATTTTTATTTTCTAATTTAATATGACTAATTTGCCCCTCTCCCGACTCGAATCAAACGGCCTTTCGGTACATCGGAGAGTTGTCCTTTTCCGTCTTTAAAGCAGACATAACATTTATTCTAATCCAAACTAGTATGGTGCCCGTGCGATGCACGGGAGCATTTATTATATATATATTTTTTAAAGATATTTTTATATTTAAATTGTCTCATGCCATTAAAAATTTCATGAAAAAAAAATTTATATGTTATTAAATACTTCCTTATGTACAACATTATTGATTTTTTTCTTTGGCACGTAAAGTACTACACAGGTGTTCGAATTTATCCAAAATTGCATATTATTAGTTATTAGTTAACAATTTCTAAAAAATGTAAAGGATCTTATTTATTGAACAAAATTGAAGTTAAAAAAAAGTAAATTTTTTTAGGGATTTTCACCCTTTATTTATTTTAAATCTAATTCTAAATTTCAATTAAGAAAAATTGAAAACATCATTAGTTACTCCTGAAATGAAATCGATTTTTCTACCAAGTTACTGACTTTTTTATCAAACTAATTGATCCGAATATTTTTTTAAACCAAATAAAAAAATCATCAATTTTTTCTAAAATTGCAACCGAAATTTTCTAACATTGCACCAATTTTTTTACCAAACAAATTGAATTGAAACTAATTCTAATAAAAAATTAAAATAATTTGTTAATGTTTATGCAACTGTCTCTTTCTTAAAGAAAATGATATGGACTTAACCAAGAAAAAAAATGATATGAACTTACCAAAATCTCGGTAAAACATGGTTAAGAAAAAACATAAGAATTCAAAAAAAATCGATGCCTTCAAATTTTGAAAAGTCGCACACAATTTTTCCTAATTAATTGGATAAGGTGACTATAAATATCAAAGATGAACCACTTTTGTTATCAAAAAACGTGGACACAATTTTGAATGTACATCCCGTCCAAATATCAGTTTTATTTTTAAATAAAAATTGCACGTGGTTTTATTCAATTTATACACATTTTTTGAAAGAAAAAAAATATTCAGTAATATTGGAAGAATTTGTTAAGAATCATACAACTATTTATTTCTTAAATTTGTACCAAATTTGCAAGGTTTTTAAATTAATTTGTATTTAGAATTGTTTTCATAAATAATTGACACATTTTTTGCATAAGAATTTCTAAATTGTTACAAAAAAAGATATGATTTAAATTTTGGTAAAAAAATAAAATATGATACGAAAAAAATGGAATTCAAATTTTGCGATAAGAATCTCCAAATTTGTTGTCAAAATAATAGGATTCAGATTTTGTTACTGTAGATTCATATCTGTTTTTTCGAACTTTCCATTAATAGTAAGTCAAACATTATATTTATTTGGTCAAACTTTCTATTAATGTATTTTTCCAACAACCTTTTTATATATATACTAGTACAGTCCCGTGCGATGCACGGGGGTTTATTATCTCTGTCCCTTTTATAAAGCAATGTTCAGTTAAAATTCAAAGTACTTACTAAAGGAAAGATCATGCCATTAATAATAAATAAATTAATAAATACAATGATAATAAAATCTATATATTATTGAACATTTCCTTATATACAACGTTCATGGTTTGATTCTTTGGCACGTCATCGTCGCCGCCAATTAGGACTTTCAAAACCATTTCTGTTTGTAACACGGAAGACAGCAACATACAATTGACCATGACTAAACACTGGTTTCTTAAGAAAGAAGCCCACATGCGATAATGATTGTTCATGACTCTTGTTTATAGTCATGTTGTAAGAAAACATAATGGGAAACAATTAATCCAATATCATCTACAAAAATATAAGAAAATGCATCATATTGAAATGTATAACATATAAAATAGTTTATTATAGATTTTAAATTAAAAAAATCAAAATAAGAAATAAACAAAAAAATTATAACGTACCAAACAACATGACTTCATCAATGTTACGAACATCCATTAAAGTTAGAAATAGAGAAATCACCCCTCCATTTGATAAATCACCTCTCCATTTGATAATCTTGGTTTGACCATTGATAATGATCCTCCTTTTACCTATCGTCGATTTATGGATTCAGTATTGCTTTTCACTTGATAGTTTGTCAAGATATAAGCGCCACCTTCTTCAATATCA